TGTGATGCTGCATTTCTGTCTAATATTGTTCCTATTTGATCCTTTCGTAAGCACCATATATGCATTCTCTTTGAGATAATGACTCTTTCTCTTACACAGTTTGGAGCGCTCTACTTGCAGCATAGCTAACATTGAAACTTTGTTGTGAACTTCTATGCGCTTTGCCGACATTTTCATGAGAATTTTTCTAGCACATAAGATTTACTGAATTTTCAATATTGAATTTTGTTTGTTTTCATTTTTACAGTTGTTGTGTATTTCCTGACAGAATTTAAAAATACTTGCCTTGCAGCACCATACTGCCTAATGCCACATTATATTCTTACATAAAATACTATTTTTATGTATATGATGAGTTATTAACTACTCAGCTAGTGTAGATACCCAGTTTGTTATTCCACACCTGCCCTAAAATATTTATGAATAGTTTTCTGTCCTTGGCTCCTCAGAACTGTTAGCTCCTGAGATATATATTTTTTGTGTTTATCAAAATAAGATGGTTTAAATAAGAGCGGTCTGACCATATCTTAATGGAATCATGAGTAGCCTCAAAACCTCTCTTTTAACCATTTGTTGTGTCCAGGGCCAAATAGATAAGTCTGGACTACCACGCAGTACATCCACTATAATCTTAGGATGCACTCTTTCTCTGCAGCAAAAAAAACGTTGAACCTGCTCATCTTGACACTTATGGGATGACATCGGCAACTGGAAATTGGATGCCTAGCAATCTTGTATCTTTAGTAAATTAATATTTGTTTCTACCCTAATTTTTAAAATTTTACAATAGATTATTACCAAATAATCATTTTATGTCTTACGGTTATAGACATGTATACAATGTGCCATAATTCATGGTACATTATACAGACACCTATAAGTATATGCTAGATAATATAAATGGTGCCTTAGGTGTTGTGACTGCTGCATTACCCCTGTATATTTGCATACATTTTATGCTGATCCTTGTCGTGTTGCTTGTTTTTGTTCAGTGCAAACCTGAAACTGAAACGTGTATATATGCAATATGTGTCACTTTTGCATGATCACATGGAAACTCCTCTATACAGCATAAAACTTATCAGGAACTTACCTGTCGTGATGTGCTTTGAAACCGGAAATTTGGAAGCAAGTTTTCAAAACCTCAGTCCAAAATTTCAAATGTTGCTATAGTTGGCCACCAGAGACCGTTTCTTATAGTTGTTATTCCTCGCTCGGTTTTCATATTGCATACCATAGGCCAATATATTGGTTAGGCTTGCTATGCCTGGAGTATTTGCGTAACCCCCATTGGGTTTTTTTAGTCAGGCTTGTATGCTATAGAGTTCTGCCTTGAATAAGCCAGGAAGTATGTGCTAACTCAACACCCATAGAGGGTCCATTCAATGTGATCTAAGAAAATCCTCACATTAATTTAATGTTTGCCATCTGCTTTAATAAGTGAAGTTCCTTAATCTTGAATCCTATGTCTGAGCTGTGGGCTTATCTTAAAAGCAAGCCTTTTTTGTTAGGCAATTTTTGTTTAGGCTTGTATGCTGGAGTTCTGCCTGGAATAAGCTAGAAAGTATGTGCCGACTCAACGGTCGTAGTAAGTCAATTCAATATAATCTAAGAAAATCCTCACCTTTAACGTTTGCCATCTGCTTTACTAAGTGAAGTTCCTTAATCTTGAATTCCATGCCTGAGCTGTGGGCTAATCTTAAAGCAAACCCTTTTCTAACCTTCTATCTATTTTTTTGCGTTCTTTTTTCCCCCGATAGGCATTTACGATCACCTTCCTCATCGTCGCCGTACTCGATTCAGGTCTTCATGTGGAAGGCAATCTCACCGTCTTAACCACCCAAAAAAACCTGAATGCCAATCAAGCACAACTTCATCAGAAGCTTGTTTCATTGTGGATGCATCAAGCATTAGCAAAGCAACCAAGAGTGGCAAAAAAGCACTCTCGTATCTCCATCATTTTGGTATGTTTAACATGTTTCATGGGTCACTTTTACCATCTGCATTGAGATGCTTAATAGGTTAGCATCCTCCTAGGAGGGTGACTCTGAATTCCTGTTGTTCATGGT